TCCTCACCCTGTGTCCCCTGGACTTCTTTTTGAGGGAACCCTTTAGAGCCATGCTAAAAAGTTCTCAAATCTGTTGTAAGTTTTCAAGTCTTGTAGTATTGTTAATTAAATGAGAAGTGGTAGTAATTGGATGGCAACTAGAGGACCTCTGGGCTGGTGAAAAAATGAAAATTTCATACCCATTTAAATGACAGTTGGCTGCAAATCTTTCTCCCTTTTGTTGGAGGTACAATCTTGCAAGACCTTAGAACTTGAATTTGATTCTGAATTAGATTTAGTCATGGAAATTGGTAGCACTTCCTGTGGAAAAGTCCGCTAACCTTAGGGTGTTCCGGGAATTTATCTAATCCTAGGGAAAGGAAAAAGGGCAGAGTTATTTTGGGAATTTGCATCCTCTTCCCAGCTAATTAAAACTGTGGAAGAGTAAGCGCCTTCCTGCAAACTGGTGTTCCTTAGGCACAGTGATGCAGATATATTTAGAGATGAGGGGGGCATTTAGTTGTGGGTTTGCTTATGATGAGAACAACAGAATAAAATGAAATCTTCTATGGTTCTTAACACCTTTGGGTAGACAGATTCCCTCATTGTTTGGGTCTTTGTTTCTATTGGCACCCTTCTGAAGGGCCAGGGTTTCTATCCAGATGAAAATACTGTTCCAACATCACCTCATAGGAGATGAGAAGTTAATCAGTGACTTAGGATCTTAGGCCACACACCAGCAATCAGTTACCTTTAAAAAATGTGGCATCTCAGAAGATATTAGTAGTGTGAACCCTGGTTTTAGTATTAACCCTGACACGTTAAACAGTCATTGGATAATCTCTTGTTTGGCTCTTCTGTAGTATCTCTTTGCATATTATTTAATAAAGTAAGATCAAGGTGGATAGAGGAGTCAGGAAGACTGAGGTTCAAATGGTGACCCTGATGTACTCCTATGCACCCTTGGGCAAGTTACTTAACTACTGTGGGTTTAAAAAAAATTCTTGTGGTTTCATTGGCTCAAGGAATCTCTCTCCATCTGTGCAGATCAGCCCCTGCTGCGCCATGCATAGTCTTAAAGAGTTATCTGGGACACTGAGAGGCTAAGTTACTTGCCAAGGGTCAAATAGCCAGTATGTTGTTATTTTTCAGTGATTCAGTTGTGTCTGACTCTGTGTGACCCCATGTGAAGAGGTCTAGGACTTTTGGAGTGCTGCAAAATCCCAAGATCACGGTACCAGGCCCTGCTGAATGAATTCAACTCAAATCTTCTTCAGCCGGAGGAAAAGTTTGTTAGTGATAAATCACAGAGGCCAGGTGACGCCCGTAAAGACAAGCGGGCAATGAGAGGTTCTCAGCCTTGTGGGCCTGAGATTCTCAGCATCTGAATGAGGGCCAAGGTGGATCTTAAATACTGAAGTAACTTTGGGTGGCCAGAGAAGGGGGTTGGGGAAAGGGTCTAGGTAAGAATTCTAATTGGGGAGGTCTGAGAAATTGAATAGACAATGGGAATAGCTAATGGAGGGAACTGGAAGGCAGAAGTTTGAAAGGCATCTGCACAAAATCAAGGTGGGGCTAGGACTTTCAAAAGGAGATAAGGGGAGTCAATGAGGAACAGTTGGAGACCAGAGAAGGCCTTTCTGGGGCCTATAGACAAAAGGGAGCCAGATTCTTTTAGGGCACATCTGAATAAGATTAAAAGGTGTAAGGCTAAGGCTTTCAAAGGGAGATGAGGGTCTGGGGCCTGTGAGTCAGATTCCCTTTGGGGCAAAGGGAGAAGATCTTGGCTTGGGCCCCACCCCCATCACATGGACCTTTTGTCCATGCGGTTTTCTTGGCGAAGACACTGGAGTGGTTTATCATTTCCTTTTCCAGTGTGCCCCCATTTTACAGGTGAGGAATGGAGGCAAATAGGAGTTAAGTGACTTGTACAGGGTCACATAGCTAGTAAGTGCCCGAAGCTGAGTTTGAACTCAGATCTTCCTGACTCCAAGCCCAGTCCCCAGACTCCAAGTCTTCCTGACCAGAGGCCAGTTCTTTATCCAGTCCACATTGCCTCTCAATCTCTATCAGCCTCATCCAATCTCAATTTTTGTAATGAACTTAACAAATATTGCAAACATAAATACTTTAGTATACAAAGAACAGAAAAGAGGCTTGTATGTGAAACTGTGAACTTGGTTTACATTGTTTTCCAAAATCTATGTTAAATAAGTATCACTTAAACTTTCATTGTCCCAAGCAACTCCTTAAAATTAAATTATATAGGAATTGTATCAGTTGAAGAAATTCTCTTCACATCAGTGAAATCACAGGTCCAAGCAAAAATCCCCCAAAATCTAGTGATTAGAAAAATTCAAGATAATTCTTTGAGTAAAGTACTGCTAGAGAATTAATGCCCAGAGTTGATTTTGATTTTGTTATTATATGTTCATATAATGTTCATGGATATAGGAAGGAAGGAAACAGGCATTTATTAAGTGCCTGCTGTATGCCATACCATGTGCTAAGGGCTGTACAAATATTAGCTCACTTGATCCTCACAACAACCCTGTGAGGTTGGGGTGCTATCATGTTATACATTTTACAGTTGAGGAAACTGAGGTAAATAGAAGTTAATTGATTTGCTCAGGGTCAGACAGGCAGTATCCAAGGCCAAATTTAAATTCAGGTTTTTTTTTTTTATTCCAGGCCCATCACTTTGTCCATCTAGGTGGATCTCCTATAGAGCTGTGAAGGACCTTAGTGGTCACCTAGTTTAACCCATTATAGATAAAGAAACTGAGGCTCAGAGAGATGAATTACTTGTCTCAGAGGGTCACAGAAAGAATAGTGGATAGAGGTTTTAAGCCATCGGACTAGATTCATTACTTTCCCACTGCTTTGAGGTAGTGAAAGGGCACCTCCCCCCCTCCAAAAAATGGGGTTTTAGAGAGACTAAGAAACGGGCCTGTAGAAGTTCTTTTAAAAATGTCGGTAGAGATAATGAGAAAAATTCTTTTTTTTCCTCTTTTTATTGTGGCATTTCATTGTAAACCTCTGAATCAGGGAGCATCATGCAGAATGGTTTTCAAGTTCAGTATTTCTGTACCTTTTACCCTATTAGGTTGTTACCAAATGAGCTTGGTAAACATCTAGAAACAGGAACTAGCTGGTAGGAACTAGCTAGCTATTGATTCTTCTCTTTGTAATTCCAATATGAAAAGTAACTTGTTAGCTTAAAAAAGACCCTGTATGTGGCTGAGAACTGTCATTCAGAGAGAATATTGATTTCAAGGGGAGCTTCTGCAGAGAAATACATACTTGGAAAATTTTCATTTTTCTGTGAAATGAAAGCATTTATCTAGAGCTATCAAAAATGTCTGAAGTAAATTAGAAACCCATTTTTAACCACAGTCATAACTGAGAGAAGGTCATCTACACCTTAACTGATTTGTCGTTCTTTGTTTATAGATGTCAGCCCTTCTTTACCGTTATACATATGCCTAACTATATATGTGAATGGGTGAGGCTGATAGAGATATAATTCATATGTAAATGTACATGTGATTTTCCCTAAGGGATAGGTCAGATCTCATTACCACTTAATAAACCACTTAATAAACTCCAGTGGTTTCCTATTACCTATAGGGTAATATGCAAGCTCCTCTGTTCGATGTTTAGGACCAATCTGTTTAGCCTTACCATGCATTGTTCCCCTTTAGACACTTCAAAATTCAGCCAAACTGGCCTTCTTACTATTCCTTATACACGTCTTCCTACTTTCCATCTCTGTGCCTTTCCACAGGCAGCCCCCCATGTCTGGAATGTGCACCCTCTTCATCTCTGCTTCTTAGAGTCCTAAGTTTGCTTCACATCTCAGGTCAAGCATCCCCTTCTATGTGAAGCCATTCCTGATTCCTCCAGGTGCTATTAACTTTCTCCTGGTCCCCTCTGAACAGGATCTTATATTTATGTATTTATTTTGTATATATTTACATGTGTACATGATGTCTCCTTGGTACAATATGAGCTCCTTGAGGTCAGACTCTGTTTCATCTTTGTCTTTGTATCCCAGTACCTAGTACGTAGTTTCTTAATAAATACTTATTGATTAATTGACATATGACGAACTTGACAAGTGACATTTTAGAGAAACAGGAAACAGCAGTGAACAGATTCAATGTAGTTTTGTAGATGTGTATGCAGAAACTAAACTGTAGTTTGGCACTGGAGCTAAATGACTATTGAAGTGACTATGGGCCACAGGTGTAGAGAGGGCATGTGTGTATCATGATATTCCCAAGCTGTCCATCCTCTCAATAAGGGGTTCCTTTTGACTTTCTATGGTGGCCTGGTGGAAAGAACACTGGATTGGGAGTCAGAGGGTCAGGGAACAGTTCTGTTTCTTCCATTAGTGTTAGCTGCACAACCTCTGGCAGTCTGATTTGTAAAATGAGTTTCCTTAGTTTCCTCATTTGCAAAATGAAGAGGTCGGGTTAGATGACATCTGTTGTCTCTTCCATTTCTGAATTCTATAAGCCTCTGATTTGTGATCACTGATTCTGGGTCCGGCTGCAGATATCCAGTTACCGAGAGTAAGTTCCTTTTGCCTGTGGCTATTGCCAGCTTTGTTGTCTTCTTAGGTAGACTCAACAGTAACCACAGAGAAGTGGACAAAAGAGTGGCAGCTGAAAGACAATGCAAGCCTGAACTATATAGCTTAGAACTGCATTTGTTTTAGTTTCTTTTTCTTTCTTTCTTTTTTTTTTTTTGCAAGGCAGTTGGGGTTAAGTGACTTGCCCAGGGTTACATCTACTAAGTGTCAAGTGTCTGATGCTGGATTTGAACTCAGGTCCTCCTCACTCCAGGGCTGGTACTCTATCCACTGCACCACCTAGCTGCCCCTTTTAAAACTGAAAAAAAACATTTAAAATTTCTTTTTTAGCTTCATTTTAAAAAATAGGTTTTATTGATGTCTTTTTAACATCCCAGTCATATCTGGAAATGAGACCTTTTCTCTCCTTCCACTCCACCTCCAGTTAAACAAAGAAAAACACCAGCAAAAGCACCTGATACAGTGACCCATCTGACAATGTATACAACATTCTGCCCTGGTAGCCCCTCACTTTTCTACCGAGAGGAGGAAGGTATGTTTTAGTATCTGTTCCCAAGGACCTTTGTTGTACTATTGACAGTTTGGGGACCCCTACCCTTGGTTCTTTTCAAACTTCTCTCAAATGAAAGAAAATATGAAGTGCTTAGGGAAAATAAACTCAGTCTTGTGAGAAGTTGTAACTGTGAAATATCTTATTTGTGTGTCTGTAGGAAATAGCCCTATTAATCATTGATGTGCTTCAGTCAGTTGAAAAGGGGAGAAAACATAGACCAGAAGAATGTCCACTCCTAGCTGGAAACCATTTGTCTACGGAGGTTTGGCCTCTATCACTGCAGAATGTGGTAAGGATAGCAAGTCACATAATTGTGTTATTTTGCCTGTTCCACATAGTCGTGCCACGTAGTGGTGTTTAAATCTTAAACCAACAAATACTGTTTGAATGTAAACAAATCTCAAGTGCAAAGCATTGGGTCATGGGGCATTAACTTCAGAGTTCAAAATGTTCAATATTTGGTAAAATTTTTTTCAATGAAAGAAGCCATTTTGGCTGTTTATTAGTAGCTGTGGTTCAAGGTCCACTGGGTGAAGGGCTAAATCTGTGGGCCAAAGGAAATTTTGGAGTCATTTGTCTGTACTGTTTGCAGCCATTCCTCTTTATCTGTCTTACCTTTTCTCCTTCCAGTGCTGCAGGTAACTCACAGTTTATATGTTTATACAGAACGAAACTCTAATAGGCTGGCATCACTCTAATGACTCTTGAGCATATAGGATATATATCACTGTATCTATAATTACTTAATTGGCTCCTGATTATCCACAGATTCTTGATATGCTGTCCATACTCATCCTTTGAACCCTAGCTTTTCTTCTAAATTTTAAAATATATAATCTTTAATGTCAATATCAAATATCCATTTTGTGGAATATAATATAAAATGTTGGTCTAAGCCTATTTCCTGCCAGATTGCTTTCCAGTTTTCCAGGTGGTTTTTTTAAAAATCGGATGCATTCTTTCATAAGTAATATATACTTTCTTGTTTATTGAATTCTAGGTTATTGAGTTCCATCATGTCCAAGTTTCCCTAGTCTGGTATATTCTGAGAATTCTTTTGAACCTTAGCACACTTCTTTTGCCCAGTAGAATTTCTAGTCTGCCTTTTCCGTTGATCTAGGGCAAAGTTAGATAAAGCTCCATGTGGGTGGAGGTGGAATAGAAGACACATTGTATGGAGGAAAAATTGTATAGAGTTTCCTGGTTGAGTGTAGGTAGAAGCAGGAATGGGACGATTGCTGATTAACGGCGTACGTTCTCTGTGTTGTTACCTACTTCTTATGTCATAATTCAGCAAGAGGGATGGTGTATCAGAACTTAGAAAGGAAAATGATAATAATTTTGAGCCAGCATGGATTCAGCAAAAAAAAAAGCCATATCAGGTGAACCTTACTGCTTTTTAAGGAGAAATGACTAGAGGAGACTGTGGCAGCTAGGTGGTGCAGTTAATAGCATGGTGGGCCTGGTGTCAGGAAGACTCCTTTTCCAGAGTTCAGATCTGACCTTCAGACACTTACTGGCCATGTCACCCTGGGCAAGTCACTTAACCCTGTTTGCCTCAGTTTCCTCATCTGTAAAATGAGCTGGAGAAGGGAATGGCAAACCGCTGTAGTATCTTACCCAAGAAAACCCCAAATAGGATCACAAAAAGTTGGACACAACTGAAATGACCATAACACCAACAGACGGTGGGTCATGATCATAGTATCATAAAGTGAGAGCCAAAAGAAATCTCAAAATTCATCTAGTTCAGTCTCTTGTGCTGCCTGTTGTTGGAGGAGGAGATTGGATAATGTAAGCTCCTTGAGGGCACGATGCCTTGCATATAGTAGGTGCTTAATAAATATTGGTTGAATTGGCTTGTATAAGGGGCAGCTAGGTGGCGCAGTGGATAGAGTACTGGCCCTGAAGTCAGGAGGACCTGAGTTAAATCTGGCCTCAGACCAGACACTTGACATGTACTAGCTGTGTGACCTTGGGCAAGTCACTTAATCCCGATTGCCTCACTAAAAAAAAAAATAAAAAAAATGAATTGGCTTGTATAACAGGATTTTAGAATTTTGGCAGTTTCCCATATTATGTTTATGGGCACAATGAATATTTGTGGTTTTGATGATAATGCAGGTTCCATGAATTTGGATCTGACTGAATAATCAAAGAGACCCAAAGGGGAAGGATTCATGGACTTATATTAGTCTAGACGAAGGACTCCACAAGAGTGCTACATTCCTTGTCTGTTTAGTTCAACATTTTAATTAATTAATGAGTTGGATGAAAACATAGATTTCATGCTGGTCAGATTTTCAGATGACCCTGACAGAAATTTGGGAGTAATCGTTAATATGTTTTATAACCCACTTGGGATCCCAAAAGATCTTGTTGGGCAGGCTGTAACGATGAACTGAATTTAATAAGGCTTAATATGAAGTTCTCCGTTTGAGTTCAAAAGTCAGCTGCCCAAAATGTAGGTTAGGTTTGATGTGAGTAGATAATGGTGTGTGTGTGTGTGTACATGCACACTATATACGCACACATACATACATGTATATGTAGATGTGTGTGTGTGTGTGTGTGTGTGTGTGTGGAGAAAGAGAGAGCTTGGAGATCTTAGTGAACTCTAAACTCAATATAAGTGAATAGTGTGACATGGCAGGCAGAAGAGGTTCTGATCTTAGGTGGCATTAACAGATAATTTTGCCTGGAATTTCTCTGTGCTCTGCCCTGGTCACATTGCACAGAAGTACTGTATTCAGTTCTGGATGCCACCTCTTCAAAAGAACAGCAGCAAGCTGAAACGGGATGGTGAGCAGGATGGTGACGAGACTGCAAACCATGTTATTTGATAATTAATGATGTTGAACTTGGAGAAGAGAAAACTAAAGAAGACCAAACTCTGTGTGTGTGTGTGTGTGTGTGCAGGCCGGTGTGGCAAGGAATTAAGGGTTTTTTGGTCCCAGTCTCTTAGTTCTGCTCTCTGGGTCCAAGTAAAACAGTCCTACGCCTTTGTCAGCCCATCCCTCTCTTCTCTTCACTGCCAGTAGTCTTATTATATTCCTCTTCCTTCCAAACCATGTATTAGACTAACTTTCCTTATGCATAAATCTGGTCTTATTGCTACTCTGCTCAGAAAGTCTCAATGGTTCTTATTGCCCTTTGAATATAATTCAAATTGACTTCTGTGGTTCATTCCAAATCTAAGGTTTGTATGATATGCAAAGCCCCTCACAATCCGATGCCACCCTTCCCCTCCACACTTATCTTAGATTTGCCTGTACTTCATTCTGTGCTTTAGTTAAACTGGCTGACTCTTTTGTCTCTTGAATGCATATAATGCTTTTCTGCATCTGGCTTTTGTACTCTATAACAAGAATAATCTCTTTTTCTCAATCTTTGCCTGTGGAATGCTACTTATCCTTTAAAACCTAACTCAAATGCGCCTTCTTTGATGAAGCCTCCTCTGATCCTCCCCTGTTACTAATTACCTTCCCCTTTGGGCTTTATCCTGTACTCTTTCAGCACCTCTTTTAATGCACTTATCATATAATAGTATATGTTTTAGATATTTTTATGTATGTCTTATGCCCCTACTAGACCATAAGCTGCTTGAAGACAAGGACCATTCTATCTAAAATTTATATTTTCTCAAGCACCTATCTCATTCATCTTTACACAGTAGGTACTTCATATATGTCTTGAAGTGAAATGAGTAGTAAGTTACCTGTCACTAGAGATCTTTATTAAGAAATTGGTCTCAATGAGAGGGATGGGGAGAGGAAGGGAGAGAATTTGGAACTCAAAGTTTTAAAAATGAATATCAAAAATTATTTTTACATATAACTGGGGAAAAAATATTAAATAAAGAAATTTATTTTTTAAAAATTGGATGAGTATATATAGCAGGGTTCTTATCCTATGGTCTATGAACTTGTTTGTAAAATATTTTGATAAGTGCATTTCAGTATAATTGATTTCCTTTGTAATCCTGTGTCTTTCATTTTTATACACTTAAAAATATTCTGGAAAGAGGTTCGTAGGCTTCACCAGACTACCAAAGGGGTCCATGACACAAACTAGGTAAAAAGCCCTTGACTTACAGGGATGGTGTAGAAGGATTCTGACCCAACTTTGATTTGGACTAGATAACTTCTGAGATTCTTTGATCCTCTTTCTCTATAAAAACTTTACAATATGTATTTCACTATATGTATTTTTCACTTGTAACTATTTAGTCTTCCCATTTAGATTGCAAATACCTAAAAGCCAGGCTTTGTGTCTACAATTGCCTTCCTAACTCAGTACTCAATAAACAAGTCCATGGTCAGTTAAGTACTAGTGTCTTCTAAGTGAATAGTGTTAAACCTTTTTGGTGTATGGGAAGTTAGGGTATTTTTTGTTCTTCAGAAAATGAACATTTTATCTGATTTCCATTAGCATATTAATTTGTTTAATTATTAGTTTCTGGGTATTAATTTGTTTCTTTAGACACAAAAATATTAAGGTCTCATTGCTTTTCTTTTTGGGGTTACTTAGCTTGTACAAAAAACTCAATGAGGAAACATCAACATTTTGGACACTGTGTGTGTGTGTGTGTGTGTGTGTGTGTATGTAAAAAATGCTTTCATATATTTGTATACATAAATATATATGTTTTCATATATGCATGTGTATGTGCAGCACTGAAAATTTCTTGCATCATTTTATTGACTTTGATTCTGAACACAAGGGAATATGAAAAATAAATTATCATGTAACTACTATTGTTTAATTCTTATCTTCTTTTTATGTAGCCTAGAGTGAAGTTTTAAAAAATTAGTTCCTATATTAATTTCTGTATTTTACATTTTAAGGTACTTTTCCAATTGATTTAACCAAGACACGTCTCCAGATTCAGGGACAGAAAAATGATGCCAAATTCAAGGAAATTCGATATCGAGGAATGTTACATGCATTAGTAAGGATATTCAGAGAAGAAGGACTGAAAGCATTGTATTCTGGGTAAATAAAATTTATTGTGCATTTAGTTTTTTTAGTGGTGAGGGAAACCTCTAAAATCAATAGAGTTCTCCGTAGAATGGGTTAAAGAGAAAATAAAAGGGATTTTTATGATCTTTGAACATGTGATAACAATCAAGATTTTTTTTTCATAGTTTTAATTTTTATTCATTTATTTTTCTGTTGTCTGCTGCATTTGGCAACACTTAATTGTTAATACTTCAAATATAGACATTCCATTGTTTCAAATTACCTTTATTTACTTATGTTATCCCGAGTCAGTGAGATCTTTCTGTAATCTATATATTGTATATTATATGTTGTGTAGTATAGTACTGTGTTTGTTGTTTGATTTGCATGGAGGTAGCACTTTCCCTTCTACATCTACCTTGTGTAAAAATCAGTGATTTTTTTTTTAGTTCAGGCTATCTCTGTTTTTTGTACGTTTTTACCTTTCAAATAGATTTCATTTTAAGTGTATGGCCTGTTTAGATTAGTAATTCTAAAACCTTTTGGCCTCAGGACCTTGTTACAGTCTTTAAAATTACTGAGAACCCCAAAGAGCTTTTGTGTATATGGGTTATGTCTATTGATATTTACTGCATTAGAAATAAAAACTGACAAAATTTAAAAATATTTATTAATTCATTTGAAATAATAACAAACCCATCATATGTTAATATAATTATAATATTTTAATGAATAATAACTATTTTCCAAAACAAAAGCAATAGTAAGAAAAGTAGCATTGTTTTACATATTTTTGTAAATTTCTTTAATGTCTAGCTTAATAGAAGATAATTAGGTTCTCCTATCTGTTTCTGCATTTAGTCTTTTGTGATATGTTGTTTTGATTGAGGTATATGAAGAAAATCCAGCTTAACACAATATGCAGTTGGAAAAGGGAGGAGCAATAATTTTGCCTATTAATAGTCAAATAACTTTTTAATATTATTTTGAAAATGGTTTTGATCTTTCAGACCCCTGAAGGGGTCTCTGGAATGCCCAGGGATCCACAGATCATACTTTGTGAAAACCGCTACCTTAGATAAGTACCGAAGTGATACTTGTCATCCCAACTAATGCAGAATGTTTTCACTATATTAACATGTATAGAGGTAGGGGTACTAGATGTAGAATCAGGAGATATGCGTTAGAATCCAAGCTCTTCTACTTAACTACTGGGTGACTTTGGGGGGACGTTATCTCTCTTGGCCTCAGTTTCCTCATCTTTAAAATGAGAGTGTACAATCAGATAATCTCTAATGTTCTTTTTAGCCTTAAATCTATGATCCTATAAAATGAATCACGAAAATCAGTGACCATATTTCATGATGCTTTGCAGACAGAAACTGAAATCCTTTATGATGAATAATGTTCTGTGATGTATAGAAAGTTTGAGAGATAGTTTCTAGGTAATTAATCACTTAATTAATTATATACTTGCACAGTTAATTTTTTTTGTTTTTGTTTTTGTTTTTTAGTGAGACAGTTGGGGTTAACTGACTTGTCCAGAGTCACACAGCTAGGAAGTATTATGTGTCTGATGAACTCAGGTCCTCCTGACTCCAAGGCCAGTGCTCTATCCACTGCACCATCTAACTGCCCCTACTTGCACAATTAATAAAATGCTTAATTACCCAGAAACTATGTCTCTCAGACTTTCTGTACATTACAGTTCTTCATATGTCTAATTCTGGCAGTAGCTGATGGTCAGAATTATGTGTTCACTTATATTTCCACTGATCGTGTGAAAGGCTGATTGCTGATTTATATTTATTAAGCTAACACAAATGACAAAAATTAAAAAGAGCCTAATTTCCTATATTGAGGTGAGATGATTGAACTTAGGCTTTGAATTAAGAAATTGGTTGATACAATTTGAGTGTGAAAGATAAGCCTATCGTATAAGAAAAATACTAATAGCTGACCTTTATGTGGAGCTTTAAGGTTTGCAAAATGCTTTACATATTTGATCCTCACAACATCCCTGTGAAGTAGGTGCTTTTATCCACATATTACAGATGAGGAAACTGAGACTGAGAGGGGTCAAGTGTTTTGCCACAGTGTCATACAGCTAGTAACTAACTGAGGTAGGAAATATATCCATGTCTTCCTGACTCCCAAGTCTAGTGTTACAGCCTCGATGCTATGCCATCTCATAGGAAAGAGTTCATAACATCTCAAGTTGGAAAAGACCTCCGATGTTTTCTAATGGAGTCCCTCTGAGATAGTTGCCTGATCTATGCATGTGAATCTTCAGGGTAATTTCAAATGATTTTTATGTTTCTTATTGGCATTTCTTCTTTTACGTTTCTTTTGTGCATTGGCTGCACCAGGATTGCCCCTGCAATGTTACGGCAGGCTTCTTATGGCACAATAAAGATAGGTGTTTATCAGAGTTTGAAGAGAATGTTTGCTGATCGACCAGAAGGTGAGTGAGAAATTTTTTTTTTTAAATTTCTTTCCTAGTGGGCTTGGTTGTCTATCTTCTGATTTCATTACAGTTTGGTATCATATTATCTTCTGTTCATTTTTGACATTATCAAAGACACCTCTGAATAAGTTTAAATATTTTATTTGTAAAAAAGATATTATGATAAACTTTGCTTTGAGAAGAAACATGGCTTAAAGGCTTAGAGGCTAAGCCTGTGAGTCAGGAAGAACAGAATTTATGTCCTTTTCCACTTACTAGCCATGTCACTGTGGGCACGTCATTTAATCTTCCAAGTCCTCTGGGAAAATCACTAAGACTCTAAATTTCTTCCCCGCATGGCCTGTGTGATCTTGGGCAAGTCATGTAATTTCTTTGAGCCTCAGTTCCTTATCTGTAAAATGAGGATGTTGGACTAAAGACCTTTCAAGGTCTCTTTCAGCTTGTATGTATGATCCTATGATCAAAATGAGGGGAAAATAAATATTTGTGAAGTGCCTACTCTGTGCCAGGCCCTGTGCTAAGCTCTTTAGAAATATCTCATTTGGTCCTCATGGCAACCCTGGGAAGTTGGTGCTATTATTATCCCCATTTTGCAGTTGAGAAAACTGAGGCACACAGGTTAATCAACTTGTCCAAGGTCACACAGTTAAGTGTCTGAAGCTGAAATTTGAACTCAGTACTCTCTCTCTATCTACTGAACCACCTAGCTGCCTTGGCGTTTCCATACTGGGATTTCTTTCACACTGAAAAAATAGGAAGTCTGTACACTACCTCAAATTGTTTGTAGCCTCCAGCAATATGTGCAGACATTCAAATGTGTGAACAATGAGAGAGAGATTGGGGGGGGGAGAGAGACAGGGAGAGAGAGAGAGAGAGAGAAGAGAGAGAGAGAGAGAGAGAGAGAGAGAGAGAGAGACAGGGAGGAAGAGAGAGAGACAGGGAGGGAGAGAGAGAGAGACAGGGAGGGAGAGAGAGAGACAGGGAGGGAGAGAGAGTGTGTCAAGGACAACAAAAAAATTAATAAAGAAAAAACTCCATAGCAATTAAGCAAAACTATACCAAAAAAAGGGATTGTGGGTGGTTGACTGTATTCAGATCCGTTCATTTCTGTTGTTTACCAATAGACTGTGGGCTCTTATCTAAACAAGGCCATTCCAGGTTATCTGCTGTTAAACGAACACTTTCCTAGCAACTCTTCTTCCAGCTAAAACACAGCTGGCACTTGAACAGCTTTGGTAAGCAGGAAGGGCTTAGGGAACAAGAGGAAAAAATCTGTGCAGCTATTTCTAGTGATTGTCCTCGTCTGTCTGATGAAAGGTCTGGACAAAATGATCACTAAGGTCCTTCCCAGCTTGGAAATTTTATGATCCTATTAACTGTTTCTTGTTTTTCTACGGAGCAGTATAGATTAGCAGGCTAATCATATGTCAAAATTAGGAATTCTGCATCCGGCCCTATCATCAGAGAGAATATAAGCCCTTTGGGAGCAGTTTTCTATTTTTGCATCCCCATTGTCTAACAAAGTGCCTGGCACACAGTAGGTGCTAAATAAATGCTTGTGAATTAGTTGACTCTGTGACTTTGTTTTCAGTTCATCTGTAAAATGACAAGAATGTTTGTCACAGCTACGTTCAATCCAGCAGGCATATATTATGCACCTATTATATGCTGGGTACTGTGCTAGACATTGATGATACAAACATGAAACAAGAGTCCTTGCCCTTAAGGAGTTTATATACTGTTGGAGGGAAATACTAGGTACATAGATGATGATGATGATGATGATGATGATAAGGTGGGTGTATGATTTCATAGGTATAGAGAACTTCAGGATGAGGAAGTTTATCTGTCATTGCAGATAAACACTTTCTCTGCAGCTTAGAATCTTGATTGCCAAGAGTACTATGTTTGCCTAGAGTTTTCTAATCAGTATGTGTCAGAGATGGGACTTGAACTCAGGTCTTCTTGGCTCTGAGGCCAGCTCTTTTTCCATCACCCCATGAATAATAATGATGAGATTAATAATAATAATAATAATAATGAGAGCTGGGGCAGCTGGTGGCGCAGTGGATAGAGCACTGGCCCTGAAGTCAGGAGGACCTGAGTTCAAATGCGGCTTCAGACCAAACACTTGACACTTAATAGCTGTGTGACCCTGGGCAAGTCACTTAACCCCAATTGCCTAAAAAATAATAATAATAATGAGAGCTGATGTTTATTAGGCACTTTATATACATTATCAGCTCATTTGAACCACAATCCCGTGAGATGGGTGCTACTCTGACCCTCATTTTACAGATAAGGAAATTAAGATTCAGCAACCTTCATCTTTAAAAAGCATGCTCACTGCACAAACTGAGTTACGACTCTCCCTGTGAAGAACTTATTGAAATCAAAGACAAAATAGTGATGTTCTTTTGTTTGCTCACAGATGAAACCCTCCTGTTAAATGTCATGTGTGGGATTCTTTCTGGAGTTATTTCCTCATCCATTGCCAATCCAACAGATGTTTTGAAAGTAAGTTATTATACAAAACTTTTACATATTTTGTAGGCTCATCTATGTGCCTTACACTTGAGAAAAACTTCCATTGGATTTTAGTAGGTAAAAGCTACTTTACTAGATGCACATAGTAGATATAATTCACTTGGATGTTTAGCTGCCAAAAGGAATCAAAATCAGTAGAGCATCTTCCCTAAAACACAGATCAATTTAGAATTTAATTTTTATGAAATTTTCTACATATGCAAAGGAGCTGCTTAATCAGTCTTCCTGCTTCCATACTATCTCTTTTCCCCTTCATCTTTCACATCCCTTCATGACTAATCTGTATACATAGATGTGGTCTCATGGCTCCTCTATTTAAAGCCTTTCTAGTGGTCCCTATTACCAACAGAGTAAAGTTCACACTCAAGATTGACATTCAAGGCTCTTCACAGCCTGGTCCCATTGCTGGAGGGTGCCTTTCTACCCATATCTCTCATAAGATACCCTACACTTCAGCTCATCTGGGCTGCTCTCTATGTCCCCTGTATATATCTAGGGATTTCCTGGCTCTCTGCCTTTATTCTTGCTGTTTGCTATAGCCTGAATGCCCTTGGCATTCTGTATCTTCCTTTAAAGCCCAGCTTAGATGCTGCCTTCTTCCTGAATTCTTCCAGAATCTTCCACACTTAACTTACATGGTCCTTAATTTTCCTGATCCACTTATAATATTTTATATTATAATTATTCATGTATATGCCACATCATCTTACTAATAAGTTCCATGATGGGGCAAGGACCATATCCTGTGTAAAATTGTGTCTTTCCTCCAGCGCCTAGCACAATGTTCTGTACCTACCTGGTGGACACTTAATTAAATAATTATTGAACTGAATCAAAAGGGAATACTTGTATTTTGAGTTTTACTTAAATTAAGGAGAGTAAATTTTGTTCCTGCCCAGTTAACATTACTCTTATTGAAAACTTTCCTTATTTTATTTTATTCATTAGAAATGGTGTTATTATATGCTTTGCTGAAATCTAGGATGCATATTACTATACTTTCTGAACATCACTTCCTATTGATAATTCAGAAAATTTGGGTTCTAGTCCTGGCTTTGCCATGGCCCAGCTTTGTAACTTTGTGGCAAACCCTAAATCTCTCAGCCATCTCAAAAATTCTGTGATTTTAAAATCTTGATATTTATAATTATGAACATTATTTTTCAGTGCATCAGTGGGTCGATAAGCATTTTTTTTTTTAGGCAATTGGGGTTAAGTGACTTGCCCAGGGTCACACAGCTAGTAAGTGACAAGTGTTTGGTCTGAGGCCGGATTTGAACTCAGGTCCTCCTGACTTCAGGGCCAGTGTCCTAACCACTGCGCCACCCAGCTGCCCCAGTCAATAAGCATTTATTAGATGTCTGCTGTATACCAGATATTGTGTTTGGTTCTGGGAATAAAAACACAAAAATGAGATAGCCCCTGTCCTCAAGAAACATACTTTCTATTGTATGCCTATATTATATATGGGAAAACTGGGGGTGAATTGTTCTTTCCACTTTAAAGTTACTTTCAAGATTAGAGATTGTAGAGGTTTCATAGAGGACAGGGTTCTTGTTTGGTTAATTTGCCTCATAAGTGCTATTTGATAATGATCACCTCAGAAAAGATCTGCCATTCGCAAACTAAAGGGTTAAGTAGATTTGTCCAATTAATTAAAGGATTTTAGCAGTTTTGGAACATAATGACCTGGAGCAGTAATGGGATTAGATGTTGTATTTGTTAATCCTATTTTTAGGGATTAGAAGGTGACCATTCATTCAGCAAATTTATATTGGTCACCTTTTCTGTGCCAGGCAGTGTGCTGGGTATTTACAGGAGATACAGCAGAGTAACACATCCTTTGACCTCATGAAATTTGCAGTTTAGTAACTGGGTAAATAAAAGATGCGTGTGTGTGTGTGTGTGTGTGTGTGTGTGTGTGTGTGTGTGTGTGTGTGTGTGTGTGTATAACAGGCCCCTCCCTATACAGTTAAATCCCATAACCACATTATCAGATCATGATGGTAACTATAAATAGCAAGTCACAAGTAGTGAAAACTCACTTTCAAGGTCCAGTAATTTAGAAAGGAATGAGAAGCCTAGCAGGGCTAATATGAACATGTGATAAAAGGGATACAAAGTACTAGAGAAATTCAGAGAAGAGAGAGCATGATTCTGCATGGGACTATCAGAGAAGGCTTCATGGTAGAGAGAAAATTGGAGCTGAGCCCTGAGGGAGTCAAAATTGAGTAAATGGAAGCAAGGACTGGGAAGAGAATTCCACCCAGAGAATAGTAGGAGCCTTAAAAGCATGGAGGCAGGAAAACATGGGTGTCTTCAGAAAGCAGGAAGCATGATACCAGTAGACTGCTGCGATGCTAGAAAGTTAAGAGAGTGAAAACTTGAGGCAGAATGTTCTTTCTTAAAAACCGTAGCTTCTAAACCTTTGCTGGGTGCTTTTTAACTTTCAAATAAGGAACATATTTTTTTATCTCAAGGTAAGTACTGTTCTCCTGGTGAAGTGACTTGAATTTTGACTTTGCCACGGCTTCCCCTTATTTTGAGTAAGAAGTTTGGCGAAATATCTTAGTGCCTGGGGTTAAGGCCTTTGCTGAAGCCTGAGAGATCTTTCAGAAAGTTAAGATTATGACGATGATGATTCCCTGTCCAAATTAGGAGCAAATCATTTGCCCCTGAGAAAATCAAGTTAGCAAAGTATTCCTTTCAGTTCCATTAATATTTATCAAGTGTCCATGCTTTGTAAGAAAAACACTGTGGTATTCAAGAGAAATCCCTGCTCCTAAAAAAAAAAGTGCCCCAGGTTGAATTAAGCAATCTTTATATTAGAATGTTAGCTGTGTGAACTCCCTGTCACTTGAGAAGTTCACGGATAAGTTCAAGTGAGGGTGGTATAAAAGGGCATCATGCAAGAGTCCCATGTTGCCCTTTTTTGCATACCTTTCAGAGCGGTGGTTTGAAAATAGTAGCGGCTCAGCTTGTAGTAACGAATTCAGGAGCCAGGCTAGACACCAGCACATGCTTACCTCTTCACTAAGTGCGTAGTCACAGGGTAGATGTATATGGTTCCTTTGCATCCACGACTCAATAAGATACATGCCAATTGCCATCACTTCTTCTCTTCAGCCATCTTAGTTACTGCTAGGGAAACAGTGTTAATTTTAGTGTTACTCATGTAACAAAAGGAGATTTCCTTTCTTTCCATTATCAGATATTTTGTATCTGGGGCAGCCAGCACAGAGTTCTGAGCTTGGAGTCAGGGAGACCTGAGTTCAAATGTGACATCAGATGTTTTACGAGCTGTGTAACCCTGTGTAAATCACTTAGTTAACTCTTTTTGCCTCAGTTTCTTCATTTGTAAAATGGGGATAATAAGAGCACCTGCCTCACAGGATTGTTGTGAGGATTAAGTGAGGTAATTATTGCAAAGCTCTTAACACAATATCTGGCATGTGGTAATTCTGTATAAATGCAAATCATCATCATCATCATTATTATTTCTCAGTCATCTCAAAAATTCTGTGATTTTAAAATCTTGATATTTATAATTATGGGCATTATTTTTTCAGTGCATCAGTGGGTGAACAAGCATTTATTAGGTGTCTGCTGTATACAAGATTATGATTATTATTGTTATTAATAAGTCATTGGTTCTACTAGTATTGTATAGGCATTGCGAAGATGTCTAAGACATACATTGTGTGATGACTAATATTGATAGACTTCACCCTTCTCAGCAATACAAGGATCTAAGACATCTCCAAAAGTCTCATGATGGGAAATGCTATCCACATCCAAAGAAATCACTATGGAGTCTGAATGCAGATGGAAGCATACTATTTGCTATTTTTTTCTTCTGTTGAGTTTTGTTTCCTCTTTCTGGTGGTTCCTCCTATTGGTTCTAATTCTTACTTAAAACATCACTAGTGTGAAAATATGTTTATTAGAAATGTGTATGTATAGCCTATATCAGATTGCACACCATCTTGGGGATAGAAATAGGGAGGGGGGAAAATATTTTAAAAAAGATCTCAAAAAAAAAAAGGATGTCTAAGGCATAATCCCTGCTCTAAATTAGCTTGGGTGGGAGATATTTTTGATGAGAATCTTGGGGTATTATTTGTGTTGTACTTTCTTTTTCCTATTATTGATTATTAACCAGTAGTCTTCAGGTACATATATTTGGAGGAAAACACACTTGTTTCTTCTAACTTGGATCTTAAAAATAATCCTTAGATAAGAATGCAGGCTCAAAGCAACGTGATTCAAGGAGGAATGATAGGGAACTTCATCAACATCTACCAGCAGGAGGGAACAAGAGGACTTTGGAAGGCAAGTATTGAAATCATATTATATATGGTGATAATGATGCTGATGAAAGTCAGCCGTGGCTTGGAGGGTAGAGAGCCACCCTCAGGGCCAGGAAGACCTTGGGCTAACGTCTATCCCTCTCACAGCTCTAGGTGTTTCTCTAAGAGGGTAAAAGGTAGAGAAGGTTCTGACTTGTACTAGGAGAGGAAATTTCTTCACCAGGTAGCTCCCTATCCCAGTGAAATCACAGGTCTGATTCCTGTTCTTCTCTCTATCCCTAATAATAATAATAGTAACCCGCATTTCTATATTCCTTAAGGTTAAAAAGTGCTTTCATTATGATAGCACTATGATATTACCTATATATAGGTAGGTGATATGCTATTACGTTCATATTTTGTCATTTATAAATTTTCTTTTGTTTTTTTTCCCTCCCAGTTTTCGGTACTGTATCTTAACCTGAGCAAATGTTAGAAAAGGAAGAGTAGCTGTTAAAATGTTTCCCTCCCATACTGATCTCTTCTTCCTTAATTTTCCCATTTGTAAAGTGGAACTATTTAACAAGCAGTGACTGATTTGCAATTTGAAAACATTTTGTGAATAATTGACTTCAAGAGTTGCTAAGTAATAATGAATACTTCCTGTGTGGTTTGAATGCACATGTTTCTCTTTACTTATGAATAATTTATGATTGTCACAGGAAATTAGGCCCATTCCAAGGTAGTTTTGTACTGATATCCTACACTTGGGTTTTCCCATTTTTGGAGGCTGCTTCTTGGCTCTCTAATGATGGCTGTGTTTATTTGGCGAGTTTCAGTGTAAACTTTGCCTCTTGGAAGTATAGTATATGTTGGATAAGATAAACTTGAATTTGCTATATTCTGTTTATTTTTTTATTCAGGGAGTGTCCCTTACTGCCCAGAGAGCTGCTATTGTTGTTGGAGTGGAATTACCAGTCTATGATATCACCAAGAAGCATCTCATCCTCTCTGGCCTGATGGAAGATACTGTCTGTACACACTTTCTGTATGTCCATGCAATATCTTTTAAAAAGTATTTTGTGTGTTTGGGGATTAAATTGAGATTTAATATATCCTTTTTTTGTTTGTTTGTTTAGTTCCCAGGGAGCAGACTAGTGATTTCAGAGATGTAGGAAGTGCCTCTCTCCAAAGACCTGCAATTTAGAATCTTAATTGCCTGAGGGCATTGAGAGGTTAAGTGACTTGCCTAAGGTCACAGAGCCAGGGTAGAAGTAAGATGAATCCAGGTCTTCATGACGTTGAAGCTAGCTCTCTATCCACTGCCTGTCAATACACACTTATGGAAATTTAATTTGGTTACACATATAAGGAAGTTGTTATAGATATACATATGAAAATGTGTAAAATTTTAAGAGTTTTCAAATCACGAAGGCATATACTGACAGTTCATCTTATTAAAGCAAGTAAAGTTTAATTGATATCATTATAACGAAAAGGGAAATCACACATGTATAAGAACTTCCAGATGTTAGCAGCCTGTTTACTGTATGACTCTTTTTTAAATTTCTTCAATTTTCGACACGATGTTGAGGTTTGCTTTCAAAATCAAGCCTTTAATTTTTTTTTTTTTAGGGAGTTGGGGTTAAGTGACTTGCCCAGGGTCACACAGCTAGTAAGTGTCAAGTGTTTGATCTGAGGCCAAATTTGAACTCAGGTCCTCCTGAATTCAGGACCGGTACTGTATCCACTGTGCCACCTAGCTGCCCTGCAAGCCTTTCTGATTTCTTAGAATGTAAAAAAAAAAAGTGTGCCCCAAGCTAACTGCAGCATTTAAGACTTCAACAGATGATTAGATCATGTTTTTAATGGAAAAGATAATGGTATTTGTTAGGGAAAGAGAAAGAACAGTAAACTCAGTGAAGAAAAATCAAGATATAGACATCATGACAAGGAGTAGCCCTGCAAGGATGTGGTAGAAGAGGACCCATTCCTGATTTCTGCAGGGTTATTTTAGCTCAGAAGGTCAGATTCATACAGGGCTACACAAGGAAGAATCTAGTCTGCATGAAGTGAGGGCTAATACTTGCTGTTCATTACTAAGACTCTCTTTGAGCTTTCTTGGTTTCATAAGTTCTGAGCAGTATGAGAGCCTCTGAGTGGGTTCAGAGAAAGAAAGTGGAAATGAATTTAAAATCAGAGAAGTGGTAACTTGAGGGCAGGGGATTGAGATGCTTCATGTTGTTACCAAGGTGTAACTGTCAGTAAAACATTGTCAGCTCTATATCTGCTGTTTGACATCTGTTTTATGGGCTTCATTTTGTCATTTCTAACTTTTCTCTTCTTTTTTTTTGTTTTATTTTGTTTTTGTTTGTTTTTTCCCAAAAATTTTAGTACTGTATCTTAACCTGAACAAGTATGTGAAAAGATAGAGTAGTTGTTAAAATGATTCCTTCCCATATTGATATCTTCAATATGTTTCTTATCAGTTATGATTGGACCATCACGACATAAAAACTAGGGGGCTGTGGAATCTTTTCTAAAGAGCAGCTTTCCTTTTAAGAAAAATTACATTCGAGCCATAGCTTGACATGTTATACTGGCCTGGGAGTGAGAAGGCTCTAGGTCTGACTATTGCTGTATGACCGTGGACAAATCATTTAACCTTTACAAGGTTTGGTTTTCTCATCTGTAAAATAGTGCCTACCTCACAGTATTGTTATGAGGCTCAAATAAGATATCATTTGTAAAGCACCCTGTGAATTTTAAAGAAATATTATATGTCCAGAGATCTGGCCTTGGAGTCAAGAAGATCTGGATTCCAATCCTTCCTCTGACTCCTATTGGTTGTGTAACTCTGCAGAGATCCACTTAACCTCTCAGTGCACAAGGCAAGTCTCTATGACCATAATTTGCAGAGAAGGTACCAACCTGAATTGGTAGGTAAAATTTTCTCATCTAGGGTGAGAAATCTGTGCCAGTGAAATCCTTGGCCCAGGCCCAGTTCCTGTGCAGGTTAATTATTATTAACAACATGGGCATCTATTCCCCCATAACTGAGCTGATGGCATTGATTTGGAAATGGTTGGGTGAATAAGTGAGGCCAAAGGGGGCGGCTAGGTGACACAGTGGATAGAGCACTGGCCCTGGAGTCAGGAGGACCTGAGTTCAAATCCAGCTTCAGACACATAACACTTACTAGCCGTGTGACTCTGGGCAAGTCACTTAACACCAATTGCCTTGGGCCCCCCCCCCCCAGAAAAAAATAATGAGTGAGGCCAAAGGAAGGAGGTTCCCTCCTATGGTTCCATGATTCTTTTGAAAATAAATTTTTGTTGATATCTTGTTTTTAGATTATTTACATTTCCCACCTCATCCTTCCCCTCACCTTCTCCCAGAGAAACATCCCTTGTGGTAACAAATTTTAAAAAAAGGAAGGGGAAAAGTTCAGTAAAACTAACCAAAATATTCAGATAGTCTGATGTTATATGCAATATTCCACCCCTATAGTCCCCCAACTCTGAAAAGAATTGGAGGGAGTTATTTTCTCATAGTTATTTTTTGGAGCCAATTTTGGTCATTATAATTTCACAGCATTCCATTTCTCTTGCTCTCTTGTTTTTGTTCTTTCCATTTACATTGTTGTAGTCATTATACGTATTGCTTTCCTGGTTCTGCTTCCCCTACTTTGCCTTGGTTTATATGTCTTCCATGCTTCTCTGTATTCATCATATTCATGCTTTCTTACATTATATTAATGTTCTATTACATTCTTCTACTATAGTTTATTTATCCATTCCCCAACTGATGGGCATCTACTTTGTTTGTTACTAGTTTTTTTGATTTTAGAAAAATATTGTTATAAATATTTTGGCATATATGGGGATTTTCCTGTCAATGGCCTCTATGCTCGTTTGCCTGCCTGCATGTGGAGTCTTTGGGTCAGAGGGTATTGACATGTAGCCACTTTATATGCATAATTCCAAATTGCTTTTCGAAATGGTTGTACTAATTCACAGCTGCACCAAAAATGTATTATTGTTGCCTGTCTTTTTATAACCCCTCCATCATTGACCATTGCTATCTTTTGTCATCTTTGCTAATTTGCTAGGTATGAGGTGAATCCTGACAGTTGTTTTGATTTCAGTTTTTCTCATTATTAGTGATTAGGAGTATTTTTTCATATAGTTGTTAATAATTTATAATTCTTTGGAGAACTGTTTGTTAATATACTTAGAGTTCTTACCTCCTCCTGGGGAATGGATTTTGATCTTGTTTATTTCTGTGATTCTGTTTTATTACTAGTGAGGCTTTTGAATTTATGTCTGATATTCAAAGCTAATGCTATAATTCTTGAGGATGAAGCAGTTATAGAACCAGAATGGACATGGACCTGATAAATCATAGCCTGACTGTTACTCAGGGGTAGGGAACTTGCAGCCTTGAGACCACAGGTTCCCCACCGCATACTCCTTTGCTCCCTCTATAGAAGTCTAATATAATGAAGGAATGGCTTATTACCTGATATTTTATGATGGTGTTTAGTTCAGGTATCAGAACTTGGCTCTCTCTCTTATTAGATCAAGCTTCACCTGTGGTTTGGCTGGAGCTCTTGCTTCAAATCCTATCGATGTTGTGAGAACACGTATGATGAATCAGAGAGCCTTACGAGATGGAACACATTCTGGTTACAAAAGCACCCTGGATTGCTTGTTACAGGTAACGATGAATTTCTAGGAAGAAATTTGGAAGATATATGTGTATACGTATCAGGGTGTGTGTGTGTGTGTGTGTGTGTGTGTTGAGAATTCCTCTCTAGTACACTTACTTTCATTTCACCTTCTGAAAGGCTTATTTCTGAGGTAAATTAAGGTCAAGGCACACTTTAGGTGAGCATCTGCTGAAAATTACAGTTCATGAGCCCCCACTGATAATTCTTTTGTCAGATCAACTAGAATATATGTCTGTTAAAAGCAAAGAGTATTGCCAGTAAAATCAAACTGAGTAATATTTAAAAGATCTAAGCTAATAGAGTTCACGAGGTTTTATTCACTGTAGCCAGTTTGTCCAAATTTGGAATCTATAAAAGTGACAGGAAAGCAAAGTTTATTTTCTTATTTTCTTTCTTTCCCTGCTGTGCTGTGAAATGACTATATATGAACAGAGTAGAATCCTATTGCGCCTGGAAGTCTTAAGTGGAGAAATGGACAGAATTTCTTTGGAAGGTAGACTCTAAGTAGTTCACTTTTATTTCAATCCTTGGATTAATGTTCTGTTTCTGCATTCCTGAGACAAGTTTAAAAAAGTATGAAGTTATGTAGAAGAGAGCAGGTTTTCCTCATTCATGACTATTTTCTGGTTAGCCTATGAAAATAGCAGTGTTTTGTGAGACTGTCTTATTCTTCTAGCCTAAAGCCTCAGGTAGCTCAAGAGGGAAATTAGTCAACCAATCAGTCAAAAAATAAGTAATATTTATTTATATTATTATATCATAATAATATAATATATTATATAATTATATAAATAATTAAATTAAATTAAAGGCTATGAATTTGACTCAAACCAAGTTTCTTGGGACCTACTGTGAATGTAACACTGTGCTGTGGGAGAGAGATAGATCATTAGTCTTACATCAGTCCATGCAAAAAGGACTGGATTTTTCCTAAATGGATGGGTCTCTTAAAAAAAAAATTTCTAGAAACAATTTTCTTTTCACAATAAATAAATAAATAGGATATGCCAGCAATTGATAATGCTTTTGACCACTTCACAATTCAAATAATATCTTTCTTCCCCAACAGACATGGAAGAGTGAAGGATTTTTTGCTTTGTATAAAGGATTTTGGCCAAATTGGTTGAGGCTTGGTCCTTGGAATATTATTGTATCCTTTCCTGTTTTGTTGAGTCTGAAAAAATATAATTATGAGAATGCTATTTTTGAAATTGTACTGATGGTGTTGCTGTGAATAATAGTCTTGGACTTATTCTCCACTGTGATTCTAAAGAACAGAGCTGTTATTTGTTAATCATATTCTTTGGGAGTTACCATTAGGCCACGATCCATTGCATTTTCATACATAAAATACTGGTTTTGTGTCTCTTTTTTCTTTTTTGGAGAAATTTTAAAATGTTCTTTCCAAAGATTTTGTTCTTTTGAGACATGAGTACAGGGAAAAGTGACATAATTCTTAATACTAGACCTTGAATTTACACCAAACTTATAGAAAACTTGAGTAAGCCTGAAGATGGGGTAATGGAAAGAATACTAGATTGGAAATCAGAAGACCTAGCTTTGAATCTGACTTTCTTCCATTTACTGCTTGTGTGATCTTGGACAGGTCATTTTATTTATCTAGTAAAATGAGGTGTAGAGTAAATGGTCTTTGAGCTCCCTTCTGGCTCTGAATCTATGCCTTTAATTTTTTACCCATCCCACTCATATATAATATGCCACTTCTTCCCTTTCTCAGAAGGTCAGAGCTCCTGTTTTCACACAGCTAATAATTCAATTATGTGGCTTACTTACTTACTTCGTTATGTTAATTTTGTCAAACATGATATTTCTTCATTGAACTGATAGAGTTAGACACAACCTAATAAGAGAGGTTTTCCTGAAATTAACATGCTCAAGAATTCACCCATTGGCACTGTTTCCCATACAAATCTAAGGGTTCAATTCATCCAGCTTTTATTAAGGAACTACCATGTGCCAGGCACTGAAACCGAAAAATCACAGAAAAAGGTGATTGAGCCTACATTTCATTGTGTATTTTCAGCTCTTAGAAGTGAGTGAATTTACACTGAAACCCACACAACTTACAATTCGTCTGGTTTATTTATTTTGATAAATTTAGTAAGAGGAGATTTCATGAATTTAAAAGTGTGACTTTAGTTCATGTTGCAATCATCACTTGATTGTTGCTACTTTAAAATAGAGGGGGAGTGATTTAAAAAGCCCCTTTGCTTACGATCGTAAGAAATATTTATATTAGAGTTCTTTTTTTAAAAAGAGAATAAGTATATCTAAGTTCCTTTAGAAGTTTGGAATTTCCCTTTCAGATAGCGCGAAGCCCGGATGTGTCAATGGATCATGCATTAATGGAGTTAATGATGACGCCACGTGACAGCCTAATTTTAGCTAATATGTTTTAGGCATTGAGAATGTTATATAGCTGACATTCATGTTTTCACAGAAGAGAGAAGATAATTGAATGCCTCCAATCTAGGACTGAATCCAGACAAAATTGTGGAGTAGGAAAACAGTTTTGCATTCTCTTCTTGTCTCTTAACCCCAGCCCTTTTCTTCCTCAGTGCCTGTCCCAGCAGCATGAGCCTCTTCCCCTTATGCTGCCTCTCCTCCCTCCAGGGTTTTCAGATGCCAAATTCTCCTTCTCTGCAACTCCCTCATCCTGTATCTCATTACTCAGAATGTAGCGTGTCTGTTAACTAATCTTATAAGCTAATTGGCGCTAATGTGATGTTGAGAAAAGCCAGGCGCCTGCTTCCAGGTACCATATGGTTAACTAGGGCTCTTTGGAGTTGCTTCCGACACAAGTAGGAGTTGGGGGGGGGCTACAGACAGGTCTACAGAAGAGAGATTTTTGGAAAAGGGAATACTTTTGGTGTCCCTCAGGTCACAGCATTTACCCTGGACTTCATCTCTCTCTATATCTAGGACTAACTAGTCTACTGGTAGGTGCAATCTGGTTAATTAGCATGTTTGCTTTCATGAATTGGGTTTCTTTATTGAGATTAAAATGGAGTTATTTTTGGCCTTAACTGACTATTACAGTTCTTTGTGACATATGAACAATTAAAAAAATTGGACTTGTGACAGTGAACAGATGGCCTCAGACATCGCTGTGACAAGGATGCTATTTTCAGCAACAGTAATGCTTTCTGCTTTTCATTGCTTGACTCATCACAAATTTTGAGATGCAGGCAACAGATCAAAAATGACCCTCCAAGTGTTCATGTAGATCCCTCAGATGCACCTCACCAATTACCTGGAAGTACAAAGTTTGCAGTCAGAATGTCTCTTCTTACTATTTAAGTGTTCTTGGATATCCAATGCATAAAGGACATGTCTTGGCTATCATCTTGTAGCACTCTGTAGGGGAAAAGGGAGAGCTAAGATCGAATTTCTTCTGTGACGAGATGACTGTTATATAGCTCAGCTTTTAGCTGGCAATATCTTATACAATGATAGGGAACAGGGGGTGGACCTATGATTTCATTGGTATAGGTAGCCCCCAGCCAAGGGACTTTGGTGTACCAAGGCAGGTCAGCAACTGCTTTGCAACTTAGAGAATTAATTTGGAGCAGTGACTTGCCCAGGGTCACACAGCCAGAATGTCAGAGGAAAGGTTTGAACCCCAATCTTCCCGTTTTCCAGGTGGGCTCTCTGTACTACTCTGTACTGTCTCTCATGCAGCTGCATCTTATATAGGGAATATTAAAGTGCTCTAATGCAGAAGCCATCACTAGCTTCTTAATGGAGTCCCCAAAAGCTTCGTTCCTGGACTCCTGGTGACTTTGGCTTGGCATCATTGGAAGAGAGAACCCTGCAAGGAGTTCTGAAGCACTCGGGACTGGTTCCGCATGGTCAACTTGAGAATAATCAGTGGAAACACTGTGTAGGGAGTTCATACCTGAAATGTTGGAGGGGTTTTGTGGTTGTTTTTAAGTTTCATTTTTAGCCGGATGTCTTTTAACTTCACATTCACAATGAATGCAATGCTGATCTATGTGGCAAAGTATTACCAAGCATTGGCAATTGTACCCACTGTTGTGGCTTCAAAGAAAGTTGCCTCAAAAGGGAGTTATTTCACTGTTTGAAGGGGTGCTGAATTGAGCACACTCTGTATTGGGCCTTGTCACAACTTTGCTGTTTAACTTTTTAGGAAAAGCCTAAAAACCTTCGGGTTCTTCAATTTCCTCATCTCTAAAATGGGAATGGGGTGACCTACTGATGTACTGAATGGCAAATGACATAACCCAATCTCCACCCCTTTAAAGCCTTGTGTTGGGGGAGGTGACAATGTTTCCTGTCTCTCTAGGCAGTTACTGTATGGACTTGTTACATTTCAAGACATGAGCTATGCCACAATAGGGTGCTTTCCCTGGTGGTTTAACCTAGCCATTGTTTCTCAGTACTTTCTTCCAGCAGGCTGAAAGGAATATATTGAGTTATCTGTTTTATTGCTGAAGATTTAAGATTTTATGAAGCAGAATTTGATTACCAAAAATAGAAACTAAAGCAGGATGACAAAAAAAAAACACCAAAGCACTCATATTAGGTGCCAAAAGCTAAGATAAATTCTAAGTTTCTTTGGTGATTTCTCTCCAAGTGGCAGTATAGGATCACTCAGCTGAGCCCATCTAAACCTTAGACCACTTGTTAATATTACCAAACCCCATCTCAAAATACTGTATTTTGTAACTTTACCAGACATTCCACCAATAGTCTATAGATAAATCAAAAGACAGATTCCTTTTAAATTCAAAGGACTTTCTTTTTACCTGATTACTCACTCAATGATGTTTTCTTTTTTGGATTGCACAAGACACTTTTTTTTTTTTAGGAACTGTATATAGTTTCCAAAACATTATAGACAAGTTCATTTATGAAGACCAATTATAAAATGATGTTGTTTTGATCATTCTATGTATTTATCCATTTTTCTATTTTCATACTAAAGTTCATGCTATAATGTAATGCTGAAGGGGTTGGGTTAAATGAGTTCTAAGGCCTTTCTGCTCTAAAATTCAATGGTTTAGATAAAAACATTTTTTTAAAAAAGCCCCATTTTAAAACACATTAAAAACCTTTTAAAAGAATGCACTATTTTTTAAGGGCTCAGTTATTCAGTATTATGAAGTACTTGATTTGACTAGTTTTAAGCCTTAGAATGATTAATGATCATTTTAGAAGATTCTAGACAGAGTGGCTGAGGAATCGGGAGAATCCACCCTCCCCCTTGTATGTTGTAAGGGCATAGTTAAAGTCTTCTCCTACCCCCTACTTTTCAGTATGATTTTGGAGTATGAACAAAAGAATTTTATGGTTTTAAAGTTGTCTTTCCTGTAACTTCTATAACCAAATTGCTAAAAAATGTTTTCTGTTTGCACATGGATTCGTTTAGCCTTTGCTGTTAAAAGTTGCCAGTCACTGTTAAGAGAATTGTTTCCTGTTTATATTTATTTGTAAGTTTGAATTACAGAGCTTTGTATAAAATTGTCATTTTCATAAGCTTTTCTGCCTCTAGCTTTTTATTTACATATTGTCAAGTTGTTCAGATACAAACCTTTTGTTTAATAAACTAGGCTAATGCAAAAAAATGAAAAATTTTTTGTGATATTTTCAAATAACTATTTAAATGATGGAAATCTAGAGTAAAGTGAAGGTCTGCAAAAGTAGATATGGGCATTCCTTTCTGCTGTCCCCCCTCTTCTTCCCCCCCCCACCCCCAAAAGTATTGGAGTCAACTTTTAAAAATTTTCTTTATTCAACCTACAAAAATTTTCTCTCCTTCCCCCCTTGGAATCATGGTTGTTTACTGGGCAGATCAGGATTTCTAAGTCTGTTTTCATAGTGTTGTTATTATAGGAATTGTTCTCCTTGTGCTGTTCACTTCACTCAGTATCATGTGATGTTTAAAAAATTTGAGAGACATAATTTCTGGGTAATTAATCTTTTTTTTTTTAATAATGCTGGCTTATTATTAATAAAATGGGTCAGTGACACTCTCCAATGCCAAAGACCTGTCATGGAGCCCACTCAATGCTTATATGCCCTTGGAAGAGTGGGTGTTCCTGAGGGTGGCAATAGATTCTGATTGGTTAACAAGTAACGAGAGAGAATAAATATTATAATGAAAGGTGTACCTATTCTAATGAGGGGCTGGGGGGAACTTGTTTATTTACTTCCAAATCATCCCTAGCCTTGGACAATTTAATCAAAGAATTTATCTCCACCCAGACCTGAGTGGGACACTGAATAGGGCAGGAATTCACCTAGATAAGATGGTCTAGGTGGGGTAAATTTTTGGCAGAGGTCGGTCATGTCCTTCAAAGGCTGAGCTTAGAACAAGAAAATAGGATAGGGAAAAAGTGTGGAAGAAGAAACAGAAAACTTGGGGACAAATATGTATAGTCAAGCAAAATAAATTCCTATATTAGCCATGTCCAAAAAAAAAAAAAGAAAAGTCATATTCTGCCGCTTTAGTCCATTACTTCTCCGTTCTCCATTAGGGTGATCGGAGATGAATGGCATACTTCATCACTGATCCTTTGGGATCATGGCTGGTCATTACATCAATGGGATTGACTTTTAAAAGTCATACAGCATAGGGGCAGCTAGATGTTGCAGGGAATAGAGAACCAGCCTTGGAGTCACAGGGACCTGAGTTCAAATCTGGTCTCAGACACTTGACACTCACTAACTGTGTGACCCTGGGCAAGTCACTTAACCCCAATTGCCTCACCAAAAGAAAAATATAATAAAAATAAAATAAAAGTCATAGAGCAGGAGATAGCTGCTGGAGGTGCCTAGAGGAGAGCTCCAGCTGTTACCTCCAGACCCTTCCTTCTGCCTCTTACCATTATAAGACAACCATGCAACTTGGCAGTGAGCAAGGAATTTTGGCCAGAATGTCAGTATCCTGCAGCAGCACTGGCATTAACAAGATGGTGTCAGTGCCCTCAATTGATAGGTTGGCCTATTAAATCCTGCTGCTGCCAACTGGTTACTGGGGTCGTCGTCCTGCCGTGAGAGAGACAGATCCCTTCTTGTTGGCAGTGTCATCAGTGGCTGGAGAACACCTTGCCAGGCTGCATGGCCAGCAGATTCAGTAATGGCGTACATGGAAGCATTTCGCCAATGTCTCTTCTTAGTACCCAGAGAACACACTTTTAAGATGGCAGAGCTTAAAATAACTTACTGGAATTGTACTGCCAGTTCTAAGAGATGAATGAAATGAGATGTGTGTGTATTTTTGAATCATAGAAAGATTGATGATGGCAGGTGGCCACTGGTGAGATCGCAAATGCTCCAGAATGGTAAAAAAACCCCAACAATTCCCCTTGTATTGCTTCAGCTGTTCGGTGTATTTGGCTCCAAACCCAGCATACTTTTTATTTTTTTTAAAGCTGCCAGCTGGAAAAGCACAACTAATTGGGGGTAAAGTTTAGGCAGTTTACAAGAAGGTCAATTTTACAGAAAAATTTATGAACAACAGCACTGGTGAGTTGGTGTGTGAACCCCTTCGGTGATCCTAACCCTAAATTCACACTTGAGAACACATAAGATCATAATTTTAGAATTGGAAGGAACCTTAAAGTCCATCTAGTCCATTTCACAGACAAAGAAACTGAGACCCTGAGAGATTAAGTGATTTGCTCAAAGTCACATAGTACTGTGACTGACAAGAGTACCAGATCTTGTGATTCCAAATTTAGTTCTCTTTCCTCTGTATTCCAGGTGCTAGTAACTATACTTTCAAGAACTGTCCAAGAGAACCACCTTGACCAGGCCCTTTATGAGTTTACAATTTGTGCTATCAACTAATTTTGACATATCAACTAATCTCCCATGAAGTAAGAATCTGCTTTGAGAGTGTGCATCCTGACCATCAGGTGATGCATAGCTTTGCAATACACTTTCATACATTAGGAAAATAGCAACCTTTAGTTCAAGAAATGCATTTTCAACAGTAGATTTGAAAACAAATTTATTTGGTGCTTAGAGACCCTTCTTGTTAATATATGGGTATATATTCTCTATGTATTTATGCATAAATATATAAATAGAAGCCATTGCCTGACCTGTCTCTCAAGGATAAGAGCTTAACTTGTAGGCATTTGTTAGATTTACTTTAACAAACAAAAATTTTTAAAAAGTTTTGGAAAAATCCAAAGAACCTTACAAAGAAAGACAGAAATCTTGTCTGTGAAGAGTCTTCAAAATCAGTGACAATTTAAGTCCATCATGACAGGTGTAGGGTGTTTTGCTTCCAGCAGGTTGAAAAGTACATTCCAAAATCTTCCCCTTTTTATAGTCAGGCCACAAGATAAGCCTATTGCCTTGTGGTCTGTTTAGAAATCATCTGCCCTTAGAAATTGGGGTAGTAAAAACACTTTCCTGTTATCCAACAAATATATGCCTGGTGTAGGAGAGATATTCACAACATCCTTGTAAGGTGGGCCAACTTTATTAAAAGTCTTTCATCAAGCAATGCCAAGTTTCTCTAAGAACTGATTTGTTACTCCTGGCCTTATTTTTTTGTTTGTAAGTGGCAAATATCTTTGTTTTGCAGGTAGAAAAACCCGAAGCACAGAGAAGCTAAAAGACTTTTTCTCCAGGTCACAAAGGAAGCAAATGAGTTGAGAATCCCTTATTAACTGATGATCCTTTAGGATAAGATGCGGGTTCATTTGAAAAAATAGGGATATAGATTTAGATAGATAGACAGATAGATAGGCAGGTAGATACCAAGGGGTGAGTTCAGAGTGTCCCCTCCTATCTCTTCAGTTGAGTCCAGAATCAGTTTCATTTTTTAAATGATCTGATAAATGTCTTTTGTTAGATTAGCAGTGTTCAAACTGGTGGCCCTAGGCAGAGATATCTTGTTTCCTCCATCGTCAGTTAGTCCAAGTAGCTCTTGACATCTCTTGGCAGCTAGGTGGCGCAGAGCATCGGATCTAGGGTTAGGGGACCTGAAGGTGGTATGTGGTCTCAGATACTGGTTTTTGACTATTTCCTTCCTTCCTTCCTTCCTTCCTTCCTTCCTTCCTTCCTTCCTTCCTTCCTTCCTTCCTTCCTTCCTTCCTTCCTTCCTTCCTTCCTTCCTTCCTTCCTTCCTTCCTTCCTTCCTTCCTTCCTTCCTTTCCTCTGTCCCTCCTGACACTGGACCCAGATGACTTTGCACAGCCCTGCCTCACTTAAATCCAGTTCGCTTGAAAGTCATAACATCACGTGGTCCTCTTCAAGAGCAAAGGACAAAAATCAACTCTCAGATAACCTTAGTCAGCACCAGTTTCCTCAACTGTAAAATGGGGATAATAATAACAAATCTTGAGGGGTTATTGCGAGGATCAAATGAGAATATTTGTAGAGCTTAGTATAGTGCCTGGCACCTAGTAGATGCAAAAGAATTCTTATTTCCTCCCTACTCTCTGCCAACCCTGAACCATCCCATATAGCAAATAGTACTTTTTAGGGAGGGAAGAAAAGTCAGCACAACTGATTAAAATATTGAAAAAAAATCTAAAAATGCGTAAATAAAACATCCGCAGACCTCCCACCTCCACCAAGGTGTGGGTTGAAGGTGTCCTCTCCTATCTCTTCAATTGAGTTCAGAATCAGTTTCATTTTTTAAATGATCGGATAAATGTCTTTTGTTAGCTTATCAGGGTTCAAATTGGTGGCCCTAGAATAGCCCAAATGTGCTCCTTGATATGACTGAGAGTGGTATCTGGAATCTTTGGGCTTAATTAAAATAGCTAGCATTTATGTAACAGTTTAAGATATATAAAGCTCTTTACATCAAATAGAAGGTATTTTTATTATCCCTATCTTAACAAATGATAAAACTGAGGCCCAGAGAGGCTAATTTTCTTGCCAAGGGTCACCTAATAAGTGCCTGAACTAGGATTTGAACCATATCCTCCTGATTCCCTGTTTAGCATTCTGGTGCCTGTCGCTTTGACAGATTTATGAGATATTTCCAGAGTCACCTGAAATGAGCCAGAAGGTAAATATGTCACGGATAAAGTATCAGACCAAGTCTGACCCTGGCTCATCTGTTATATATTTGAACAATTTCACATTTCCCTTTCTAAACCACTCCTTTTAGTTAAACGTTGTTGTTGAGTCATTTTTCACTCATGTCCCACTCTTTGTGAACCCATTTGGGATTTTCTTGGCAAAGATACTGGAGTGGGTTGCCATTTCCTTCTCCAGCTTATTTTACAGATGAGGAAACTGAGGCAAACAGATTTGAGTGACTTGCCCAGGGTCACATAGCTAGGAAATGTCTAAGGCCAGATTTGAATTCAAGAAGATGAATCTTCCTCACTCCAGACCTGGCATTCTATGCACTATGCCACTTAGCTGCCCCAAATAGAGATACAGTGGCATTTAATGAGTAACTGCATTCAGCTAGCAAAGGAGTGTTGAATCATGAAAGGATGGTATCATTAGAAGCTTTGTGTTCTGATGAAAGAGACCACACAACTCTTTCTTGTACTCATGGGATATGTGATATGATCTGTAATTTACATGGCTTTCTTGGATGGGTTTTGTAGCTTATTAAGAAAAGGTAAAACTATTATTTTTTTATTACCAGT